TATATATATATATATATATATATATATATATATATATATTTATTTATTTATTTATTTATTTATTTATTAAGGGGTTCATGGCCCTTTAACATTGATTAATGAAAATATTGTTCATCGCTAGTTTGTTATTTACCAGTGCATTATGATTATTATAGTTATAATCGTTATAAGGATTACTAAATGGTGTGTATTGCTCATAATTAGTCTCATTTGTAAATACAATAACTAGTAAAACCTTGTTGTAAAGTACCAAAAACTCTAAGTAAGAATAACATTTATTTGCAATGTAAGACCATTATAACAGTATAATACAAGGCTAACTGCTTAGGATATTTTTTCTAATGCCTTGTTTTATTTAGACTTCTGATTGGGTCGCTTTGTATGAAAATAGGATATTTAAGACCTGTTTAAAATGATTTAAGCCCTACAACACAATATTTGTATAATTGTAAGGCTTTTTAAGGCCTAACGTTTGACATTGTGAGACATTTTAAGAGTTTTTTAAGACCCCATGAACACTCACCACTTTCTCTTTGCTGAGATGATTGCTGAAGTCTTTGGAGATGATGGCTGCATACTGGATGAGCACTTTATTTATGGTCTGGAAAAAAAAGAAAAAATAGATTTAGATAATACAGGAAACAGTGCACAAGTCTGTTATATTGTTTAAAGACATAAAACACAAACAATTACATTCATTAGCATTACAATTTTTCTTAAAGAAGATTGCAATTATTTGATTAATGATTTTATTGTGATATTTTTTTTTTTATTGTGTGAGAGTGTCTAAAATTGTACAATGTTATTACATTTTAAAATAACTGGTTTGTATGGGCATATATTTTAAAATACAATATATTTCTGTGATGTAAAGCTGAATTTTCAACATCATTATACCCTTTAGCATCACATGGTTCTTCAGAAAACACTCTAATATGCTGATTTCATGATTGAGGGTTGGTTAAAATGGCTGTGATTATTTAAAATATATGTTTAAAACCGTACTGTTTAAGTGTGTTGTGATATTTTATGATGATGGTTAAACTGTGAAATATTATTATCATTTAAAATAACTGGTTGTATGAACATATATTTTAAAATAGAATTTATTTTTGTGATGTAAAGCTGATTTTTCAGCATCATTACTGTAGTCTTCAGTGTCTCATATGATGCATTAGAAATCACTCCAATATGCTGATTGAGAAAATGGCTGTGATTATTTATTATATACGTTAAAACAGTGCTGTTAGGAGTGTTGTGATATTTTATATTGATGGTTAAACTGAAATATTATTACAATTTAAAATAACTGGTTTGTATTAGTGTTTAGTTTAAATATAATTTATTTTTTGTGATGTAAAGCTGATTTTTCAGCATCATTACTCCAGTGTTCAGTGCCACATATGATGCTTTGGAAATCAATATATTCTAATATAAGGATTTTTTTTAATTGTGTAACAATATATTTTCCCCCAACATATTAATTTGTGTCTACTATTTTTATAACCACGATCTTAAGCAATTTTTATGAGATTAGTTTTGACTTTCTGACTAATCTCATGTATATGCACAAATGAAAGCATCCTATAAAATATTAATTAATAAGTTGTATGTATACACACTCACTGGCCACTTTATTAGGTACACCTCACCAACAGCTCGTCAACGCAAATTTCTAATCAGTTAATCACATGGCAGCAACTCAATGCATGTAGGCATGTAGACATGGTCAAGACAATCTGCTGCAGTATAAACCGAGCATCAGAATGGAGAAGAAGGGGGATTTAGGTGACTTTGAACATGGTATGGTTGTTGTTGCCAGACGGGCTGGTCTGAGTATTTCAGAAACTGCTGATCTACTGGGATTTTCACGCACAACCATCTCTAGGGTTTACAGAGAATGATCTGACAGAGGAAATATCCAGTGAGCGGCAGTTCTGTAGGCGCAAATGCCTTATTGATACCAGAGATCAGAGGAGAATGGCCAGACTGGCTCCAGATGACAGGAAGGCAGCAGTAACTCAAATAAGCACTCGATACAACCGAGCTCTGCAGAAGAGCATCTCTGAACACACAACACGTCCAACCTTGAGGCGGATGGACTACAGCAGCAGAAGACCACAACGGGTGCCGCTCCTGTCAGATAAGAACAGGAAACTGAGGCTACAATTCACACAGACTCACCAAAACTGGACAATAGAAGATTGGAAAAACGCTGCCTGGTCTGATGAGTCTCCATTTCTGCTGCCACATTTGGATGGTCGGGTCAGAATTTGGCGTCATGATGTGGTGGAAAGGGACATTCGCATCATGGATATGCAGGCGACAAATCTGCAGCAACTGCGTGATGCTATCATGTCAATATGGAGCAAAATCTCTGAGGAATATTTCCAGTACCTTGTTAAATTTCTGCCACGAAGGATTAAGGGAGTTCTGAAGGCAAAAGGGGGTCCAGCCCAGTTCTTGTAAGGTGTACCTAATAAAGTGGCCAGTGAGTGTATATGTATATGTATGTAAGCCTTTTGTTAACTGACCAAGTGTGTTTGGAATCGGATAGTTATGCCTATTACTTTGGATCCAGATGAAAGCATAAATTGTGTTTGTGTGTGTGTGTGTATGCATGTATGCAGGAGCATCTAAGATTAATGATAACTGATTTCTGTCAGAGCTGAATGCTTGATCAGACATGCAGACGTCCTCATTTCAGCACAGTTCAATCTGCTGTGTTTTATTGGCACGATGACGATTTCTATTCAACCGCCCAGCATCCAATCAATACACAAACTGAACCCGCAGGAACATTAACCAAAGCTGCTCAATGCTCTAATGCCACTTCACACGATTAATTTTATATTAACAAGATTTTCAATGGCTTTTAGAGGGTTTAAACACATCGCAAAAACCATAATAGTAATGGACAAACCTTAAAACTAAACAACTCAAAATCTACTCAAACAACGTGCTGTTTACACATGTTGATTATATTGTTATGCACATGTTAATAGTGGACTTTGTTAGACATTTCTGAGAGATTTCTTCAATGTATTTTCCAATTGTGAAAGTCTGTAATGAATGCAGATGAAGTGCTTCTCCTCCCACAGGATTATGGGTAAAGGCTCTTGTAGGAGGCATTGATTACTTCATGCAAACCTGACACGAGAAATCTATTACAGTGGCCTTGGAGGACGCATATCATTACTGCCCTCATTTGCCTGTTTACATATTTATGAATATGCTGAGGGATTTACTGCAGTTCCCTTGGCTTCGGGTTGATGAACTATTAGAGTGCTGTTCAAAAGGCTGAGGTCATTATTCATTGCATTTCATTTGTTCATTCCTTCATTTTTTTGTTCATTCATCCATCCATCTATTCATTCATTCATTCATTCATTCATTCATTCATTCATTTATTTGTCCATCCATCCATCCATCCATCCATCCATCCATTAATGCATCTATCCATCCCTACGTTCGGTAGTTTGTTCATTTATTTATCCATTCATTCCTTCATACATCCAAAAGCTCATTTATTCATCCATCCATTCATCCATCCCTCCCTCCCTCCATCCATTCATTCTTTAATCACTCCATCCACCCATCCATCCATCCATCCATCCATCTATTAATGCATCTATCCATCCCTACGTTCATCCATTCATTCCTTCATACATCCATAAGCTCATTCATCCATCCATCCATCCATCCATCCATCCATCTCTCCCTCCATCCATTCATTCTTTAATCACTACATCCATCCATTCGTCCGTCCGTCCATCCATCCATCCATCCATCCATCCATCCATCCATCCACCCATCCATCCATTAATTAATTCATCCCTTCATTCATCCATTTAGCCTTAGATTCATTCCTTCATCCCTTCATCCATCCATACATTCCTTCATCTATCCATCCATCTATCAATTAAATTAAATTAAATTAAATTCATTCATTCATTCATTCATTCATTCATTCATTCATTCATTCATTCATTCATTCATTCATTCATTCATACCTTCAGTCATCATTCATTTGTCCCCTCATTCGTCCCTTTATTCATCCCTCTATGAATTAATTAATCCATCCATTCCTACATTTAGTCATCCCTCCATCCATCCATCCATCTATCCATCCATCCAATTCAACTCAATTCAATTAAATTCATTCATTCATTCATTCATTCATTCATTCATTCATTCATTCATTCATTCATTCATTCATTCATTCATTCATTCATTCATCCATTCATTCATTTATGCATTTGTTCATCCCTTTATCCATCCATCTTTCCCTTCATTTGTTTGTTTGTTTGTTTGTTCGTTCGTTCGTTCGTTCGACCATTCATTCATTCATTCATTTATTCATTCATTCATTCATTCATTTGTCATCCCTTCATCCATCCATCTTTCCCTTCATTTGTTTGTTCGTTTGTTTGTTTGTTCGTTCATTCTTTCGTTTGTTCGACCATTCATTCATTCATTCACCTATTCATCCATTAATTCCTTCAACTATGCATCCGTCCATCCATCCATCCATTCATTCATCCCTTTATTCATTCATCCATTAATTAATTAATTAATCCATCCCTACATTCATTTGTCCGTTCATCCCTTCTTCCATCCATCCATCACTTCATTTGTTAATTTCTTTTTTTCTTTCTTTCATCCATCTTTCTATTCGTCCATTAATTCCTTCATCCATCCATCCATCCATCCATCCATCCATCCTTTCAATTTAAAACACATCGCCACCTAGGAATTATGAAGTTCTCTCTGCGTTCTGAATGATTTTAAGATATTGAGCTTCAAAGTTTTTGCACTGCATAGCAAACAGTATGTGTTTAACATTTGTTTATAAATAAAAAGTCTTAAAATGTAAACAACTTATAAAAAAAACATCCCATAATGTAAATAAGTTGTCATGTAATAAGAATATGTCAATAACTCAATTTGGACAAAAATGTCACATAGAACCATATAATTCTAAGGTGACAACATGTAAACACACATATAAATCATGACCTCGCTAAGACAACCTCGACTTAATTAATATTTCCATTTCCCATTGGTGATTCCAGAGGTGCAGAAATGACTTCACATGTACAGTGAATCAAATAATGTCATGAAAACACATCCTGAAAAAACAGCCTTGTCCTTTAGGCAGTGAAGGTCTGGAATTATCTCCACATTTCAAAGCTTTTCTTTTTTATTTGTTCCTGATTTTTCGCTCAGCTGCCTGGCAACGATACGACACCCTACAGCCACGGTAATGCTGGATTGCTGGAGGGTTGATTATTACCATTATAACATGTAATTTAGTCTTTTAATCTGGAAATTGGTGGTGTTTTATCATACTACCACTGAGACTGTGCTGCAATGATTTTACAATGAAATCAAAATGGCCTACTTATTATACACTTACTGTTTATTTTGAATATCGCAATAGCGAATTATTATAACAATGTATACTATGGCGTCTGATTGGCTGTTGGGTATTCTACGGTGTGCAGTTATTTTCATATAAGTATACAGCTAAAGTAGTTCCAGCAGGTTTTGAAAGCATCACAGCTCCATATCACTACGCTAAATGATTTCAGTTATTTCATAGCTATAGCATTCAAATACTCGATTCTGATTGGCTGATGAACATTCTAAGGTGTGCGGTTATTTTCAGATAAACACACAGCTAAAGTAGTTCCGGCAGGTTTTGAGTGCATCACAGCTCAATATCACTACACTGAATGACTTGTATTTTCACAGCTACAACTGTCAAATACTTGATTCTGATTGGCTGAGGAACATTCTTAGGTGTGCAGTAATTTTCAGATAAACGCACAGCTAAAGTAGTTCTGGCGGGTTTTGAGTGCATTACAGCTCCAAATCACTATCATGATTGATTTCAGTTATTACACAGCTACAACAGTCAAATACTCGATTCTGATTGACCGACGAACATTCTAAGGTGTGCCATTATTGTCAGATAAATGCACAGCTAAAGTAGTTTCGGCAGGTTTTGAGTGCATTACAGCTCCATATCACTACACTGAGTGATTTCAGTTATTATACTGCTACAACAGTCAAATACTTGATTCTGATTGGCTGGAAAACATTCTAAGGTGTTTGGTTATTTTCAGATAAACACACAGCTAAGGTAGTTACGGCAGGTTTTGAGTGCATTACAGCTCCATATTACTACACTGAGTGATTTCAGTTATTATACTGCTACAACAGTCAAATACTTGATTCTGATTGGCTGGAAAACATTCTAAGGTGTGCTTTTATTTTCAGATAAACACACAGCTAAAGTAGTTCAAGCAGGTTTAGAGTGCATTACAGCTCCATATCACTACACCGAGTGATTTTAGTTATTTCATAGCTACAACAATCAAATACTCGATTCTGATTGGCTGGTAAACATTCTAAGGTGTTTGATTATTTTCAGATAAACACACAGCTAAAGTAGTTTTGGCAGGTTTTGAGTTAATCACAGCTCCATATCACTACCCTGAATGATTTCAATTATTTTACAGCAACAACAGTCAAAAATCACATCAAAACACAACAGAGGACAAAAGCTGATCAGGTCTCACCTTTGCGAATCTGCGCATGAAGTGAGCGAGGGCGTGAGGGTTTGGACACTCCAGTTTCTTGATGATCTCAAAGCTTTGGTTGAGTTGCGTAAAAACGTCCACCACTGAGCAGGAGAAGAGCGCGTGTTCAGACGTCTGCTGGAACTGCACACAAAAACACAGCAAACACTGCCTTCAGTGTCACATTCACTACATCACAAAGGGAACTTTACATTAGTTCACATTTCCAGCATTGAGCAATAATATTTCACCAATACACTGTTACGATCACCATCGATCTAGCGACTGCAGATCACTGGGAAGCACGCAGTTCGCTGGAGAACAACAAACACGCCACATTATGGACTACAACTCCATACATGCACTCTGCTCACACACCTGTTCCAAGTTTCGGTGATAAGCACACACACAGCTAGAGGATTGTAATAAACTGATTACATGGACTTTAAATACAGCACACACACACTTCATTGCTGAGTCTTGTTATACTGTCACTTTGAACATTATGACACATTTCCATTTCCATTGCCTTGTTTTGTTTATTTACGTTGTCTGCTGCCTGCCTTTTGACCATCTGCCTGTATTATCGACCACGACTCTGGATTTCCTGTATACATCTGTTTGCCCCTGTGTTGACCGATACTTGCCTTATCATTCCATTTAACAAACCTGCGTTTGGATCCGCACCTCCCTTGTCAGCGTCTCCCTTATGACACAATGTATTTTACGGTATTTTTAAACACACAAACTCAGCAAAAGCAACTCTCAAAAATATTTCAGCTTTTCATCTCAGCAATGAATTACATAAAACAAACAAACAAATGAAAATAGAAATATTTACTTTGAAGGGCACATAGTTAACCCTTTTTTATGATTTAATATTAATAGTATGGTTCTTCTAAGTTTGCCAGTTTAGGTTCAGTTCAAAATCGTTCAGATTTTTTAAATTATACACACTTAAAAGAAACAGTACTACAGTATATAGAACCAAAAATGGTTCTATCAAGCGCTTCATATATGGAACCCCAAAAAAGGTTCTAAATATAACCATTTTAAGGGTTCATTAAATAGAACCCCCAATGGTTCTTCGAATTCAAGTTAGATGGTTCTATTTAGAACCATTAAGGGGTTCTTTATTTAGGTAGCAGTGCAGCGCTCGTGCCCACAGCAAGTCTGCGTACACGCGGCAGGCCAGAGTCACGGTGGCAGGTTAGATTGACCATCAGGCCACCGGGAAAGGTCTCGGTTCTCCCTATGGCCAGTCCGTCCCTGGATATTATTAAAACCTTTTAAAGCCAAACATATTTTAATAATCTATAGATGAAAGATCAGGTGTTATTTATAAAGGACACAAAAATGCAGGCTAAATGTATTGTGAAATATTAAAGCTTTAAGTATATATATATATATATATATATATATATATATATATATATATATATATATATATATATATATATATATATATATATATATATATATATATATATATATATATAAATATGATTATTTGTTTTTTTTTTTTATTTCTTTCTTTTTATTTTTTTTTTTTTTTTTATATATATTTATCTGTGTGTTTTTTTTTTCTCACACACGCGCGTGCGCGCGCGCGCGACATCTATATATATATAAAATATAACTTCTACACAAATGTGCAAAAGTGAGTGAAAAAAAGCGCACCACACTGTACTCTGATACAGTTTTTGACCCCAACATTCTTTTTATTAGATTTACACTCATAAATCTATGTATATCTGTGTTAAAGCTTATAATTATTTTACTCTCTTTAACACATAATTATGTTTCTGAATCTAGAACTATAG